TTGTGGTAGATATTTAATGATAAAACATTTAAAATAGAAATGCCAAGTATGTAGTTTAGGTTATTCTCAATCCTTTTATGTATTTATTTTCTTTTCACATCAAGAACTGTTCCAGAGGAAGAAAGAGAAGCTAAATTCTACCGGGTTATAACTTGTTCCTTATTGGCATTGAAGAAATTGCTTTGCCTCTTACCTGATAATGAACTTGATTCTCTGGAGGAGAAATTTAGGTCTCTTTTATCACAGAATAAGTTTTGGAAGTATGGAAAGCACAGTGTACCTCAGGTATGTTAAATCTTTTTTATTTTAAGTCATTTCTCTGATTCCTCCCCTATCTTGTCAGTGTATGTTTATGTTTTATGTTTATTGTTTTTACATTTGAAACTCTGCAAGCACATCTTTGTGGTGAGTTATCCATTTACTGAATTATCTCTTACTCGAGTGTTACTCTATTTTCACTTTTTTATTTAGTTTGGGCCTCAGGTTCAGACTTGAATTGTGATACTCCTTTGTTAATAGCACCTGAAAATTAGTATATGCAAGGCTCTTCTTATTTAATGTATTTCTTTTTTCTCTTTTGTCCCTGTCTCTCCATTCGCTACCTCCACTGGATAACCATTCTGATATGTTTTATGTATGTTTTTTTGTTTGTACTGTCGATTCTCATTATTCATAGCAGTTACGTTCTACAAAGTTATCAGGAACTGACTTAGTAAATACTGAGACATTGCTCCTAGTGGAACTACTATAACAGGGTTAGGTTCCTGTGAGCCTCTGGTCACAACATATTTGTCAGTCAATTAATACGTAATCTAGTTTTATGTGTGTTTCTGTTTAAAGACACATTTAATATTTATTGTTGATTCATTAACATTGAACTCATGGCCAACAGCACTAAAACTCTTGCCTGGATGAAGCTTATCTAACACACATATTTTCTTTGTGAGGCACATCAAAGCCTTCTCGTGTTTAGACACAGTAGACAGCACGTCAGTGCGACTGCTGGGAGGCCATTTAAAACACAAAACCACTAACCAAAAGCATAAATATTTGAAAAAATACTGTGAAAAAGACACTTGTTAACAGTATGAGCGCTGAAATTAGAAAGTAGAGTTTTGCTTTGTACAGCCTCAGCTGGGAATGTGCACATTGAGAACTTAAATTTGTCACTGTTCTGTGCACGTCCATGAATCTCTGCAAAAGTTTTGATTTGGGGGTTACAAATTTTAGCGAGTAGGTGAATTCGCATAAATGGAATTTGTGAGTAATGAGGATTGACCGTGTTTTTGAAAAATGTGCTTTTGTGTGTGCATGAGTTTTTAATTCACATAAATGGTACTGTAGTATATTTTATTCTATTTATTACTTTTTTAGTTTTTTTAAAAGATCCATCATGTTCCTATGTGTATATCTGATCCATAGCTTCTAACTGTTGTATAGTATTCAGAAGCTCACTTCTGTCCATTCCTCCAGTGACAGGCATTCTGATTTCCTCCAACCCCCACCCTTACAAATAATGTAGCAATGAACATCATCATTCATGTGTCCTTGGATCTTCAAGAAATTCTCTAAATTGCTGAGTCACAGAGTTTGTGCATATCTGATTTCCTGAAATACTGTCAGATTGCTTACCTGCATGGCTGCATTACTCTAGACTCAACCATCAATGCATGATGAATCTTATATGCATGGTAAATCTTACACTGTATAGCTTTATATTTTAGCAATCACTAGCTGCTTAATTTTTCATTAGTCTAATAGGAATTCAGGTGATATCTCTTTTTAATTTGAAATACTTTCCTTACTAGTGATTTTTAGCATCTCTTCATAAGCTTTTAGTTTTTGTGTTTTCTTCTTGTTCATCTTTCCTCTTTTTTTGTATTAGAGCTATTCTCTTTTTCTTATTATGCAGGAGTTCCTAGTATACTCTAAATATTAGTCCTTTTGTCGTTTTTAGGGATTGCAAAAAAGTTCTCATTCCTCTCTCCCATGCATCCTCTGTTAAGAAAGAAATCTTAATTTTGATGTAATCAAAGTCATTGATTTTTGCCTTATGAAGGCCTTTCCCACTTTTAAGTCACAAAGATAGACATATTTTTTAATTTTCATAGTTACATCTCTGCATAGTTTTACCTTTTATATAAAGTCTTTAATCCATCAATCATCTACCTTTTTATGTGATCTTACGTAGAGATCTAGTTACATTTTTCTTCATATATAGTGATCTAGTTTTCTTAACATTACCCTGTTGATCTGTGGTCCTGCCATTATGGTACATTAAATTCTCACATATTCACAAATTTGTCTCTAAACTGTATTCTGATGCATTGGTCTCTGTCTCTTCTTATGCCAGTACCACTGTCAGTATGACATTATGATATGTCCTAATAGCTGCTCGGGTAAGTCATTCTTTTCTAGTTGTCTTCTTCAACATTAAGTTGTTTTAGAACTTTATTCTTTCATATAAATTTCAGTAAGTTTATTGAATTTCTCAAAATCTAACTGAAATTTTAATTGGGGTTGCACTGAATTTATGGAATGATTTTGGGAGACTTGCTGTCTTTATGTTATTTAGTCTTCCTACTCAAGAATCTCTTTCAGTTTATTTGGTATCTAAAAATATCCTACAATAATTTTTTTTTTGCCTTTTTCACAGTTATTTTTAATTTACAAATTTTTTTATTTTAAATTATTGGTACATAATAGTTGTATATCTTTATAGGGTACATGTGATATTTTGATACAGTAATATAATGGAATTAATCTAATCAGGATAATTGGGATATCCATCACCACAAACATTTATCATTTCTTTGTGTTAGGAGCATTCCAGTTCTACTCATTAATTATTTTAAAGCATACCCTAACTTATTGTTGATTATAGTCACTTCATTGTGCAATCAAATATTGTTCATTCCTAGTTAACTATCTTAACTATATTTTTGTACCCATTAATCATCCCTACTTTATTTCCCCACTTCCCTCTACCCTTCTCAGACTTTAGTAACCATGATTCTACTCTCTATCTCCATGAGGTCAATTGTTTTTAATATTTAGCTCCCACATATGAGTGAGAACCTGTGAAATTTGTCTTTCTGTATTTGTCTTATTTCACTTAATGTTCTCTAGTTCCATCCATGTTGTTGCAAATGGCAGGGTATCATTACTTTTTACGGCTATATAATATTCCACGGTGTATGTGTACCATAATTTCTTTATCCATTCATCCTTTGACATTAGGTTGATTCCAAATCTTGGCTATTGTGAATAGTGCTGCAGTAAACATGAGAGTGCAGATATATTTTTTATATGCTGAATTCCTTTCTTTCGGATATATACCTAGCAGTGGAATTGCTGGATCATATGGTAGTTCTATTTTTAGTTTTTTGAGGAACCTCCATACTGTTCTCCATAGTGGTTGCACTAATTTACATTCCTACCAACAGTGTATGAGGGTTCCTCTATCTCCACATCTTTGCCAGCATTCGTTATTGCTGTCTTTTTGATAAAAGCCATTTTAACTGGGGTGAGATGATATCTCATTGCAGTTTTGATTTGCATTTCTCGACCAGTGATTTGGAGCATTTATTCATATACCTGTTGGACATTTGTATGTCTTTGAGAAATTTCTATTCAGATCCTTTGTCCATTTTTAAATTGTATTATTTGATTTTTTCCTATATTTTAGTTAGTGGGCAGTTTGCAAATATTTTCTCCCGTTCTGTGGGGTGTCTCTTCACTTTGTTGGTTGTTTCCTTTGCTGTGCAGAAACTTTTTAGCTTAATGTGATCCCATTTGTCCAATTTTGCTTTGGTTGCCTGTGCTTTGGGTATATTACTCAAGAAGTCCTTGCCCAGACCAATGTCCTGAAGCATTTCCCCAATGTTTTCTGTTAGTAGTTTTATAGTCTTAGATTTAAGTCTCTAATCCACTTTGATTTGATTTTTATACATGACAAGAGATGAAGGTCTGCTTTTATTCTTCTGCATATGGATATTCAATTTTCCCAGCACAATTTATTGAAGAGATTGTCCTTTCCCCACTGTATGTCCTTGGCATCTTTGCCGAAGATATGTTCACTATAGATGTATGGATTTATTTCTGATTCTCTATTCTGTTCCATTGGTCTATGTGTTTGTTTTCATGCCAATACCATGCTGTTTTGGTTACTATAATTTCCATTTTTTTGTGTCCTCTACAACTTCTTTCATGAATGTTTTATAGTTTTCATTATAGAGATTTTTCACTTCTTTGGTTAAGTTTATTTCTAGGTATTTTATTTGTAGCTGTTGTAAATGGGATTACTTTCTTGGTTTCTTTTTCAGATCATTTACTGTTGGCATATAGAAATGCTACTGATTTTTGCATATTGCTTTGGTATCCTGCAACTTTACTGAATTTGTTTATCAGTTCTAATAGTTTTTTTCATAGAGTCTTTAGACTCCACGAGATATAAGATCATATTATCTGCCAACAAGGATAATTTGACCTCTTCCTTTCCAATTTGGATGCCCTTTATTTCTTTCTCTTGTCTGATTGCTCTAGCTATAACTTCCAGTACTACGTTGAATAACAGTGCTGAAAGTGGGCATCCTTGTCTTGTTCCAGATCTTAGAGGAAGGGCTTTCAGTTTTTTCTTTCAGTGTGATATTAGCTGCGGTTTGGTCGTAATGGCCTCTGTTGTTTGAGGTATGTTTATTCTAACTCAGTTTGTTGAGAATTTTTATCATAAAGTGATGTTGAATGTTATTGAATCCTTTTTCAGCATCTATTGAAATGATCATATAATTTTTATCCTTCATTCTGTTAGTGTGATGTATCACATTCATTTATTTGCATATGTTGAACCATCCTTGCCTCCCTGGGATGAATCCCACTTGATCATGGTGAATGACCTTTTTAATGTGTTGTTGAATTTGGTTTGCTGGTATTTTATTAAGGATTTTGCATCTGTGTTCATCAGAAATATTGGCCTATGATTTTCTTTTTTTATTGTGTCTTTGGTTTTTGTGTCAAGGTGATACAGACTTCATTGAATGAGTTTGGGAGTATTCCCTCCTCCTCGATTTCGTGAAATAGTTTAAGTAGAATTGATATTAATTCTTTGAATGCTTGGTAGAATTAAGCAGTGAAGTCATTGGGTCCTGGGCTTTTCCTTGATGGGAGACTTTATACTGCTGCTTCTATCTCATTATTTGTTGTTGGTTTATTCAGGTTTTGGATTTCTTCCTGGTTCAATCTTGATAAGTTTTATGTGTCTAGGAATTTATTCATTTCTTCTAGGTTTTCCAATTTATTGGCATATGG